AGATACAAGAAGTTCATGGATGCATTTAACCATATCTCAAGTAATATTGACAAGATATACAAACAACTAACTAGGAGCCAGACACATCCACTTGGCGGGACAGCATATCTGAATTTGGAAAATGAGGATGAGCCATTTTTATATGGTATTAAGTACACTGCTATGCCGCCAACAAAACGGTTCCGTGATATGGAACAACTCTCTGGTGGTGAAAAGACTGTTGCTGCTCTGGCGTTGCTCTTCTCTATACACAGGTGTGATACATTTTGTCATTGGACTGTTTATACTGCCATGTTTTATCTATTTGATTTCATACTTAGTTTATGTCTTGGGAGATTAAATCAAGGGCTGAGAATTGGGAAGATAGTCGAGACATTGATTTTAATCTCCTGAGGTGTGCAGTACTGCAGTGTGCTCCATTGACAAGTGAATATTGATTTTTGAGGACTGGTGTAGGAGTGAACTTTTTATGCTATCATAGTCTTTTTCTACCCATGAATTGTAGCAGTGTATTTTCAAGCCATCAAAATGTTTAACAATGCCTTCTATAAATGTTTTCTTATAATTTATTAATCAGCCTGTCATGTACTGACCTATTATATATATATGTGCAGCTTTAAGCCATCACCGTTCTTCATTTTAGATGAAGTTGATGCTGCTTTAGATAATCTAAATGTTGCCAAGGTTGCTGGATTCATCCGATCAAAATCCTGTGGAGGTGCTCGACTTGACCAGGATGCTGATGGGGGCTGTGGTTTCCAAAGTATTGTGATATCACTCAAGGACAGCTTTTATGACAAAGCTGAGGCTTTAGTTGGGGTTTACAGGGATTCTGAGCGAAGGTGAGTTCCTTCTTGCTCCAATTTTAAATAAATTATTATGCTTTGATATGGTTTGTAATTGTTGGAGCCCCCTTGTTACAGTACATATTGGTGTCTGAGTTTCCTAGAGACTATTTAATTTTGGCTAATTTCTCTGTTGTTTGCAGCTGCTCTAGCACTTTGACATTTGACCTGACAAAATATCGAGAATCTTGAGAATACAATAAGCCCTGTACATAGCTTCATGATTTACGCTCAATATTTGTCTGCTGAAGGTTGGTGTACATAACATTAGCACGTTTCACCTCTCCTGTCCGTCTTCATTCTAGGTCTTGTAAGTGGCTGGTTTAACCGCTTAGAAAATCATGTACGTAGTGCAAATACTTGCATTGCAGCTTCTTATTCTTTTCTTTCTCACTATGTTGTCCTTTATAACTTTTTTTTATTTTTATTTTTATTAATTGACGCTTCCACATTTACAGCATTATCAGTTAATAGAGTTACTGACAATTTATGTTCTCTCTCTATTAACTCCTGAGGCCTTCGGGTATGTTCTCATTTGGTCATGAATTAAGATCCTACTGAGATGTGCTGTATCTTTTTTTTTTTTTTTAAAAATACATAACCTTAACCTTGCTTAAATGACGCCCTCAAATGTTTTTAATCTGATACTCCGTAGTTCAAAGGAATACGTTTAGCAGGACTATGGGTAGGCAAATGGGTTCGGTGTTCGGATAGGCGATCTGCTTCGGGTGATAATCAAACTCAGGTGGAATCTTCCTATTCAGAACCTAATTTTAGATGATAGATTCATCTCAGCCTTTTAGGAGTATAAATTACTTGCAAGATTTTGTGTTTTAACTTTCAAATTACTTCCATGTCATTATTAATAGGATTAAATTATTAAAAAAGGATTGTCTAGAAATAGTATTGCCTTATCTTATATGAAAATCTTTCTATCCGTTAACAGTTGGGAGTAAATTTTGGCAAACATAAAAATGGGAGTAAATTTTGGAAAAATAAAAAGCATGTTTAAGTATAGACGTCTAGGTTATAGTACTTGCTTTAGGAATTAGGACATCCATGTTTTTCATTCACCTTTGGGAAAAATAAGATTTTTCTTTACCTTAAATAGTCGCAATTTTCGAATCTTATATTCCTTACCAACCACCTTAACGAACCCCAAAAACCCTTAAAATGATTCGTTAAATTGGTTAAATTAATAATGGATTATAGCTTCTGATTAATGACCTAGACTTAAGTGATCATCAAAACAGCTTAAAGAAATCATTAATATCAATGATCACCATAACATCTCATGACCTCAGAGGCATAACAACCGGGCCAATGGAATTTCCGGTCACCGGTGCTGTTGGGGAAGCTACGCAACCCTCCAAGGTGGGAGGAATGTTTGATGATGACGAGTCCTTTGCTGAGGCAAGTGATGAGGGGTCAAGCCTTAGTGAAGAAGAATCCGATCACGAGGACTTCATTATTGAAGGAAAAGAGATAAGCCATACTAATAACTTCAATTATGATTCCTTAACAAAGGGAAAGGTACCAAGTAGGAGGAAACTATTCAGGCGGAGGTGGAGAAGAGTGAAAACGAATAAAGCATTAATCGAATTGAAGTCGAAATTAGAGGATGCCCTAATTGGGAATTGCTTCCTTGAAGAAGAAAGAAATGGGATATCACAAAACTTAAGGGACATTACCCTTTGGGGTGTGCCCTTATTGCCAAGCAAGGGTCATGAAGGGACAGATATAGTTTTGTTAAAATTTCTTAAAGCTCAAAATTATAGGGTTAATGAGGCATTTGAAAACCTTAAACAAACCTTAATTTGGAGGGCAGAACAAAGAATCGATGATATCACTAATGAAAATTTAGGGGATAAAAAAGAGCTTAACAAAATGGTGTTTATAGATAGTGTTGATAATGAAGGGCATCCTTTGTGTTTTAATTCTTATGGGGCTTTTAAGGATAAGGAATTGTATGCCAAAACATTTGGGACAGAACAAAATAGGAGGGACTTTCTTAGATGGAGAGTTCAATTTATGGAGCAAACCATTAAAAAGTTGAGTTTTGAGCCTGGTGGGGTGGACTCTTTTCTTTTGATTAGTGACATGAAAAATGTTCCAGGTCCTGGGACTCGTATGAAGGAGCTTGGCCCTATGAGCAAAGATGTCGTCTCTCTCTTTCAACGTTATTATCCCGAGCTCATTTATAAGCACGTAAGTAGACTTGTATACGTATATATTATCATGATAAAATTGAAACGATATAAAAGAACTACTAATTAAAAAGTGCAATATGTAAATTAAGTTGTGGAGACCTTGTGAAATTAAATATGTTTCGACTTTGTTGGTGCACTCGAAATTCTCTTAAATTCATGAGTATGGTCCAAATTCACGTTAACAATTACTATTAAAAAATGCAATATGTAAATAAGGAAATCCTTATTTTTAATACATGATTTATGTTAGTTATACTTATATATTCTTGTATTCATTTTAGAATAGTCTTTATAATCTTATTATTCTGTTTGCCCTTGCAGATTATATTAAATGCTCCCTTCTGGTACTATTTGTACCATGGTGTAGTTACACAATATTGTACTCCTGGAACCAGAGAAAAGTTCATATTTGCAAGGCCTCACAAAGTCACTGAAACATTGTTGAAGTAAGGCTATAATACATCAATCCTCATTATTTACAAAATATTCCGTATAATACCAAGCTAATTAAGCTTGGTATAATGATAAAAGTTAATTAATCTCATTTCTTCGTAATAAGGGCTTTTTGAAGGCGTGGATTCCTTATTACCTTTTCAAAGATATTGTCCGTTAAGTCTAAACATTCATCCATAAAAAAATAAAATCATTTAATTAAAGTACTCTCTTTGCTAATATAAATTTATAATAGGCACAACTTTAATATTTAGAAACATACGAAGTAGAAATTAATGTGTAATTATGCGTATTAATGTATGAACAGGTATATACCCCCTCAAAACATTCCACTCCAATATGGTGGGTTTAGACGAGAAAATGATGATGAATTCAAATCTGATGACCCTGTCCTAGCGTTTTGTATCCGTGGTGGTGCAGTAACGGTGTTCAAACTTCCGATCTCTGAGGTACAAATTGTCGATTTATAGTACTCCCTCGATTTCATATTTACTACTAATGAGAGAGATTAGTAGTAATCGCAATCTTACTTAGGGTTTGTGTTTTTATTATACGGAGTATTAGGTATAGAATATATTATTGTGCTCTATTATCCGTGTTATTTTTTATTAACAGTTGATTAATTACATGATGGTGTTGTCCTTTATCTTTTTTATAGGTAAAGGTAACGGTAGTATGGGACGTTATAGTTGTAGGATGGGATGTGAGTTACAAGGACAAATTCATCCCCGTCGATGAAGGTTCTTACAAGATCTTGTTACACACCGAGGAGAAAGTTGAAAGTTGTGTAAGAAATTCATTTTACATTAATGAACCAGGGAAGATTATGATTTCTATTAAAAATGCTACTTACGTCAAGAAAAAGGTTTTCATCAGACTAAAAAGCAAAGCCACTTTGCCTGTGTACTTGTACAAATAAAACTAACATTTAATGGATCGATCAAGCCACACGTACGTGGCTAGGCCAGTATAATACGGAGTATGTATTATTTAATACATAAAATTTTGATGATTTATTAATATGTAATTAAAGATTTAGTAGATATAAGAACTTAGAATTTCGATCTATATTTGGTTCATTCAGCTATAGACATCAACTTCAAATGCAACATAACTTTGTGTCTTGGATATTACATATGAAGTAGGGGTCGATTATATTTATTATTTTGAAGCAAAAGAAGGTGTCAATTTTTTCTAGTGTCATCTATAAGACTATAATACATAAGGGCATGTTCGGTCATTCAACCCATAATCAATGAAAATATGTAAAGGTAAATTTTTCGCTTGATTTAATCGGTTCTAATTCTTTTAATCAATGAAAATAAGTTTTAAGTCCGTAAAAATTATAAATACCTGAATTAAATCAATGTTAAACACTAATAAGTCATGACCAAAAACAAATTATGATCAACAATACGAAGTAATAGGTTTTCTCCAAGTAAAAATCAATTAAATTCAATAAAAATAAAATGAATGTATATTGCATAAATCTAAACAAATTGAAAAAAAAAAAAAATGAAAAACAGGTGTTGATCATGAACAATATTTGAGTACTACTACTAGCAAACAATACAAGGAAAGCAACAAAAAACCAAACCTTTTAAAATTTACGTCTCAATTCTCCCGTTACATGTCCATATACAAATACAATAATAGTATTGTGGGCATGCATATATCAGCCACTTGCTAAAATTATCAGAATTTAGGTGTAACAAAGGTAAGCCCTCATTGCCATGCATTTTGAAAAATGGCCAAATTATAAAAATTATGTGTCACTCTTTCATCTTTCTCATTTTTCCTATAAATTCACCTCTTCAACACATACATTCTCCATTCGCCACAAATTCAATATCCTCCCTCCAAAAAAAACAAGCAAAAAAAAAAAAAGTAAAAAATGGCTAAGTCTACTACTACATTGTTTCTTCTTAGTTGTTCAATAGCACTAGTGTTGTTGAATGGGTGCATGGGCCAAGGAAGGATGCGAGAGATGCAAGGCAATGAGTGCCAAATTGACCGGCTTACCGCCCTCGAACCGACGAACCGGATTCAGGCTGAGGGTGGATTGACTGAGGTGTGGGACACCCAAGACCAGCAGTTCCAATGCTCCGGTGTGTCTGTTATTAGACGTACCATTGAGCCTAATGGTCTTCTTTTGCCTTCTTTCACTAGTGGCCCTGAGCTCATTTACATTGAGCAAGGTAACAAATTTTAATACAAGTTCTACACTAATTATTATTTATTATTATAATATTGAGTAATTTATAATTTATAAGATAATTACATATTCACTACACGTGACAATTTTTGGCCTGATAAAATCTTTATATTACCTATTAAAAATAAATTATTGATATTCACTACACGTGACAGTTTTCGGCTTGATAAAGCCTTTATATTACCTATCAAAAATAAATTATTGGTATGTGAATTGTATAATTATTGAAAAGTGATGAATATTTGTAGGGAATGGAATAAGTGGGCTAATGATCCCGGGATGCCCCGAGACATTTGAATCAATGTCACAAGAATCATGGAGAGAGGGTATGGAGCGAGGAATGAGGGGCGGTCGCTTCCAAGACCAACACCAGAAGATCAGGCACCTCCGTCAAGGCCACATTTTCGCAATGCCGGCTGGAGTTGCTCACTGGGCTTACAACACCGGAAATGAGCCTCTTGTTGCTGTTATCCTCATTGACACCTCTAACCATGCTAACCAACTTGACAAGGATTATCCCAAGGTTATTATTATCCTCATTTCCTCGTCTTTTTTAATTGATACATTATTTCTAATCTAACTCTTTACACATTATTTTTTTGTCATTAAGTCAAAGTAAAATGTAGCACAATATATATTTACGTGCCCAAATGTAACGTTTTTTTAAAGTAATGTGTATATTAATAATACCACGTACTTCTATTGTATTTAATTTAATCATTGTATTATATATGCAGAGATTCTACCTAGCTGGTAAACCCCAACAAGAGCACAGTCGCCACCAGCACAGAGGTGGAGAATCCCAGAGGGGTGAACGCGGCAGCGGCGGCAACGTATTCAGTGGGCTAGGCACCAAGACCATAGCTCAATCCTTCGGAGTTAGTGAGGACATAGCCGAGAAGCTCCAAGCCGAGCAAGACGAGAGAGGCAACATAGTCTTAGTGCAAGAGGGTCTTCATGTGATCAAGCCCCCAAGCAGCAGGTCATATGATGATGAGAGGGAACAACGCCGCCATCGTAGCCCAAGGTCTAACGGCTTGGAAGAGACCATATGCTCGGCTCGTCTTAGTGAGAACATCGACGAACCCTCTAAGGCCGATGTTTACTCCCCGGAAGCTGGTAGACTTACTACCCTTAACAGCTTCAACCTCCCCATCCTCAGCAACCTCCGCTTGAGTGCTGAGAAGGGTGTCCTTTACAGGGTATTTAATCAGGGCTACATATAAGCATTAAATAAATTATTTCTAGACATCCTAAAATAATATTCTGATTAATGCAGGGTTTCTTACTAAATTTAATTTTTGATGCAGAACGCGATCATGGCACCACACTACAACCTAAACGCCCACAGCATAATCTACGGTGTACGAGGAAGAGGACGTATCCAAATCGTGAACGCACAAGGAAACTCGGTGTTCGACGACGAGCTAAGACAAGGACAACTAGTGGTAGTCCCACAGAACTTCGCAGTGGTGAAGCAAGCCGGTGAGGAAGGGTTCGAGTGGATCGCCTTCAAGACATGTGAGAACGCTTTGTTCCAAACCCTAGCAGGCCGAACATCCGCCATCCGTGCCATGCCCTTAGAAGTGATCTCAAACATCTACCAGATCTCCCGTGAACAGGCGTACCGCCTCAAGTTTAGCCGGTCCGAAACCACCCTCTTCCGCCCCGAGAACCAAGGGCGCCAAAGGAGGGATTTGGCTGCTTAAGTTGGAAAAAACAACAATGTAGTATGCATGGCATAATGGTCACATTATATATCATGTAATGTGAAGGATTTTTAGGTTGTTTTTTTAAATAATTAGGATGGATAACAAAATAAAAGGTAGTCCTTTAGAAGGTCCCTTGTTTTGAAGGTGTACGTTTAGTTGAGAGGATTGGAGCTGTTATGTATAAACTTGTCAATGGTCAAATGCAAAGTTCCAACAACACTAAAATGGTTTCTAATAAATTTTCATTTACTTTCCTCTCTAGCTACTAAATTAATTGATTAATAGAATGTCATATAATATTTAAAAATGAAATATAAATAATAGAATCAAATAAAAGGTTTTCTTCAACAAACTATAAACTCTTCGCACACGAATAAAAGCAAACAATAAACATTATCCTTCCGGTTAGATCATATGTGAATTAAATAAACATAAACACAATTAGCCTATAAACATTTCACATTTTCTCCTTATAAGACTTTCCACTTTTTTTTTAACACTTCCACTTTAGTTGCCAAACTTTAATCGACAGGTGTCTAGATTTATTATATCATTATAGGAAATAATATCACTCCGACCCAAATGTTACGTAAAACTCTTTTTTTTTTCCTAATAAGTGTTGGAACAACAAGTGTGTAGTGTGTGAATTTTGTGAAAAACTCAAAGTCCCACATTGGTGGGAAATGAGAGTTTTACTCTCTTTATAATATAGAGAGTGGGCTAAAGGGGTGTGGCCCTTGGGCTACCCACATTTTGTGGAGAGGGAGGACCTATATGGTAAACCATCTATCACACACACGCGCGCCGGGTCGGGTCGGGTTTATTAAATAAACTTATTTTTTGGACAAGGCTAATTGCGTGATTAGTTCCTTGATTTTTGCTAAACGTTTTTGACTGATTACATTTGACCGTTTTTTCAAAACTGATTAATGGAGCGTTAATCATGCAAACGTTTTCACTGATTTTTTGCTAAACGTTTTGCCACGCATTAATCTTCTGTAACCGTTTTGAACGTTCAACTTATGACCGTTTTAATTGCGTGATTAGTGCCTAATTAAACAGCAGCAGTTACGTTGCAATTTTTCCTATAAAAGGCGTGTTGATTTCCTGTTTTTGAGACACAAAAAAAAATACAGAAAGCAATCTTCTTCTCCTCTCTATTTTTCCTCACAAAAACAAAACCCTCGAGCAGTTTCTTTTCTTTTTGGGTGTTTAGTTGCCCGGTGGTTTTGTGCAGTTCCACCGGTATAATTTCAATACAGAAAGGCTGTTTTATCCTGGGGAACAACCGGTTTAGTACGAACTGCTTGCACCTTTTCAGGGCAGTGCCGTGAATGTTCTAAAGAAAGCGACATAGTCCGCGACTCAGTCTATTTTTCGGTAACTTTGTTCTTACTGTTTTTGTTCCCGCAGTTCCGTTTATAACAATTTTAGAACATTCTTTTTCTGCCTGTATGAACCATATGTCTACCGAAGATATTACTATGTCTGCTGACCTTAACAAGCCCTTCCGTTTTGAAGGAGCTCACTTTAAAAGATGGAAACAGAAAATGCAATTTTTCTTAACTGTCAAAAAAGTTAATTCTGCCTTAACAGCCCCTCGGCCATTTATTCCTGATAATGCTCCTGAAGATGAATTAGCTTACTTGAATAGTGAAATCGAAACCTGGAATGAAACTGACTTCATGTGCAAAAACTATATACTTAATGGTCTGTCTGATAACCTCTATGACTATTATAATATGGAAAATACTGCTAAGGATTTGTGGGATGCCCTACAAAAAAAGTATGATACTGAAGAAGCAGGTGCCAAAAAGTATGCTGTCAGTAGGTACCTAAAATTCCAGATGACTGATGATAAGTCCGTGGAAGTGCAGTCTCACGACCTTCAGAAAATTGCCCATGAGATAATTTCCGAAGGTATGGCCCTTGATGAACAATTTCAAATTGCTGTTATTATTGACAAGTTGCCTCCTTCCTGGAAAGATTTCAAAAATAATCTCAGGCATAAGACTAAGGAATTCTCCTTAGAGAGTTTGATCACTCGGCTACGTATAGAAGAAGAATCCAGAAAACAGGATCTAAAGGAAGAGATTTTACAAATCTCTGCTAATAATGCTCCTAGGCGATCTGCTGCAGTACTTAAACCTGCTGGTAAGAATTTCAAACCTCAGAACCGGAAGAATAACTTCAATAAACCGAATGTTCAAAAGAACAATGGAAGACAACAGTCACAACCCCCTAAGAATGGTACTGGTCAATTTCTGTGCTATCGGTGTGGAAAACCAGGCCATATGGCACGAAAGTGCAGGAACATGCCTAACCCTGTGCCAGCGCAGGCTAGCATGATTGAAGAGCCTTTTGTGGCTATGATTACTGAGATCAACCTTACTGGTGGATCAGATGGGTGGTGGATAGACACTGGTGCCACACGCCATGTCTGTTATGATCGTCGAATGTTTAAAACATACACTGAAAAGACCGATGATAAGAAAGTATTGTTGGGTGATTCCCATTCCACTAACATTGCTGGTGTTGGAAATGTTGAGTTGAAGTTTACTTCTGGCAGGACTCTCATTCTGAAAGATGTGTTACACACTCCGGAAATGAGGAAGAATTTAATTTCTGGTTTTTTGCTTAATAAGGCTGGTTTTATACAAACCATAGGTTCTGATTTGTTTACTTTAACTAAGAATGGAATATTTGTAGGAAAAGGATATGCTACTGATGGCATGTTCAAACTGAATGTTGAAGTTAATAAAATTTCTAATTCTGCTTATATGTTGTGTTCTACTATTAATGTTTGGCATACTAGACTTTGTCATGTGAACAAAAGACTCATAAAAAATATGAGCAATTTAGGCCTTATTCCAAATATCTCTCTCAATGACTTTGACAAATGTGATTCTTGTAGTCAGGCTAAGATTACAAAAACACCTCATAAATCAGTGATTAGAAATTCAGAACCATTAGACTTAATTCATTCGGATATTTGTGAACTAAATGGAACGTTGACCAGAAATGGACAACGATACTTTATCACCTTTATTGATGATTGTTCTGATTATACTTGTATTTATTTGATGAAAAATAAGAGTGATGCTTTTGAAATGTTTAAGTTGTTTATAACAGAATTTGAGAATCAGTTTAACAAGAAAATAAAAAGATTACGAAGTGATCGTGGAACTGAGTATGATACTGATGCTTTTGTAGAATTTTATAATTCACATGGTATCATACATGAAAGGACAGCTCCTTATTCCCCAGAAATGAATGGAAAGGCTGAAAGGAAAAATAGGACCTTTACAGAATTAGTAGTTGCTATTTCCTTATATTCTGGTGCTGCTGATCATTGGTGGGGTGAAATTCTACTAACTGTTTGTTATGTCTTAAACCGTATTCCAAAGACTAAGAGTAAGGTTTCTCCCTATGAAATACTTCGTAATAAACGACCTAACATTTCTTATTTCAGAACTTGGGGTTGTCTAGCATATGTTAGGATTCCTGATCCTAAAAGAGTTAAATTAGCTAGTAGAGCTTATGAATGCGTATTCATTGGATATGCTATTAACAGTAAGGCATATAGATTCTTTGATTTAAATGCTCGTGTAATTATTGAATCTAATGATGTTGATTTTTATGAGGACAGGTTTCCTTTTAAATCTAGAAATAGTGGGGGCTCGTCCTCCTCTATTATTCCTAAAGACAGGTCTAACTCACAAGACTTGGATGCTGAACCCGAACTAAGAAAGAGCAAGCGGGCTAGAGTAGCAAAAGACTTCGGCCCAGACTTTGTAGTTCTGAATGTAGAGGAGGATCCTTCTACCCTCCAAGAAGCTCTAACCTCAGTGGATGCAGATTTATGGCAAGAAGCCGTGAACGACGAAATGGACTCACTTGAGTCTAATCGAACTTGGCATCTAACTGAGTTGCCACCAGGCTGCAAGTCAATTGGTTGCAAATGGGTCCTAAAAAGAAAGCTGAAAGTTGATGGGACCATTGATAAGTTCAAAGCCCGTTTGGTAGCTAAAGGCTACAGACAAAGGGAGAATGTTGATTTCTTTGATACCTATTCACCTGTAACTAGAGTAACATCTATTAGAGTATTAATATCTCTTGCTTCTGTTTTTAATCTTGTAGTACATCAAATGGATGTGAAGACTGCATTCTTGAACGGTGAATTGGAAGAAGAAATCTACATGGATCAACCGGAAGGATTCGTTGTTCAAGGAAAAGAGCATCTGGTATGTAAGCTAGATAAATCTCTTTATGGTCTCAAACAAGCACCTAAACAATGGCATGAAAAATTTGATAACTTAGTCATCTCACATGGTTTTAAGATAAATGGTAGTGACAAATGCATATATGTAAAATTTGAGAATGACATATGCACTATAATTTGTCTATATGTGGATGACTTGTTAATTTTTGGCTCGAACATTCATGCTGTGAATGATGTAAAGCTATTGTTGAATGCTGAGTTTGATATGAAAGACCTAGGAGAGGCTAATGTAATCCTTGGAATTAAGATTACTAGGACAGAAAATGGAGTTTCTTTGGATCAATCTCATTACATTGAGAAGATCCTAAAGAAATATAGTTACTTTGACTGTAAACCTGCTAGTACACCTTATGATCCCAGTGTTAAATTATTTAAGAACACTGGTGATGCCGTAAGGCAATCTGATTATGCGAGCATCATTGGCAGCCTTCGGTATGCCACTGATTGTACTAGACCCGACATTGCCTATGTCGTGGGATTGTTAGGCAGGTTTACTAGTTGTCCTGGTAATGAGCATTGGCATGCTATTGAAAGGGTCATGAGATACCTTAAGAGGACCATGAACCTAGGGTTGCATTATGAAAGGTTTCCAGCTGTACTAGAAGGCTATAGTGATGCTGACTGGAACACCTTATCAGATGACTCTAAGGCTACTAGTGGATATATTTTTTCTATAGCCGGTGGAGCTGTATCTTGGAAGTCTAAGAAACAGACTATTTTGGCTCAGTCCACCATGGAGTCAGAAATGATAACACTAGCTACGGCTAGTGAAGAAGCAGGTTGGTTAAGAGGCCTGCTAGGTGAAATTCCCCTATGGGAAAAGCCATTACCGGCTGTCTTGATCCATTGCGATAGTACCGCGGCTATTGCAAAAGTTCAGAACCGTTATTACAACGGTAAGAGACGACAAATACGTCGTAAGCACAGCACTGTGAGAGAATATCTCTCTATCGGAGCTGTTAGAGTGGATCAC